AAATAAACTGAGTTACAAACTATAAAAAATACTTATTAAAAAGATAGGTTTTAAGTCGAGATTTAAAACTGTTTAGTGATGTTGCTTGACGAAGCTCCACAGGTAGCTCATTCCAGAGTTTCGGAGCTGCTGCTGAGAATGATCTTGCTCCCAATGTTGTAAGCATCTTTCCCTTGGGATGGTCCAATAATAGCTTACCAGTAGACCTAAGATTATATAATGAATTCGATTTTATACTAATAAGATCGCTAAGATAAGTTGGTGCTAGGCCATAAATACATTTGAAAGTCAAAAGTAAAATCTTATAGTCAATACGCAAAGAAACTGGCAGCCAGTGCATCTCATAAAGTGCCGGTGTAATGTGAGAAAACTTTCCAAAGCCAAGAATAAGTCTTGCTGCTGCATTTTGTACACGCTTGTAATTTAGCGATCTGCACATTTGGTAAGCCAAGCAATAAACCATTACAATAGTCCAGACGGCTGGTTATAAAAGCATGAGCCAAAGTAATTAAAGAATCTCTCGACAGGTATTTCTTAATACGTCTCAAGTTATGTAAATGATAAAATGCCACATTACAAGCCTTGTTTATATGATCAGTCATGCTTAAGTTGCTGTCAAACCAGGATCCAAGATTTCTAACACATGGGCTTGGACTGATACGATTATTGCCCACAGTTACTCCGTTTTATCATCATTGATCATCAACCGATCTTGAATCATCCATTTCCTCACCGCGTCAATGCACTTTTCCATAGCTTGTATCACACACTATACTTTATTTCATGCAAATCATTTTGCCATCTCCACCCGCAAATAGCAAAAGCTAGATGAGGCGAGAGGAAAGGTTACAGCAGTCATAACAGATAATATAATAATTGTAAAGTAACTAAATAAACTATCTGGATAAATAAGAACTACTGAAAAAAAAAAAAAAAAAAAAAAAAAAACAAGCTAAAGTTACAAAATATATAGTCTTACAGAATGATATTACAATCAAATTTACTACTAACAGAACTATCAGTTATATACATTGAGTCAAGGATGCAGAATTTGCCATTTTTTGTAGGAGAATGGGCACTTCAACATAATCGTCCTCTGCTTCCATTATTGAGAGCAAAAAGTCATGAAAATTTTTCTTAAAAGCTCCTTTGGAGAGTTGACAAAATTCGTTAGGAATTGCGTCCCAAAGTTTAGCTCCAAACCTGGAAAAAGAATCTTGATTTAGATTCAGTCTTGCAGTTTGAACATAATTTCCAGACGAAGAAAACCTGGTCTCATGCCTGTGCTTTGAATTAGCTTTAGTGAAGAAATCACAGATGTTAGACGGAGCATTCATGCAGGAAACGTCAAACATTATAGAAGATACTTTTTCAGCATATAACATTTGTAGGGGTAGAATTTTCAAGGAAATAAATAAAGGCACAGCATGGGCTCTAGGTTCAGAAAAGTACATCAAAGGAAGGGCTCGTTTTTGAAGCATGAGGATTTTTTTTAAATGGGTTTTGGCAGCTTGACCCCAAGCCGCCAAACCATATGTCAGATGAGGCAAGATCAATGATTGATGAATATTTAAAAGGGTTGTACATGGGACAAAGTGCCTAAGACGGGCAACAACACCAACAGTTCTGCTTATTTTTAATGCAACATTATTTATTTGAAATTTCCAGCTTAAGTTGCTGTCCAATAGGACGCCAAGATATTTAACATGGTCTTCGCACTGAAGCGTGGTAGGAATTTGAGTACAGTTATCGATCATTTCAATGTTAATCGAGTAGTTCAACTTACGTTGATATGGACGAAAGATAACATAGTTTGACTTTTTAGCATTGAGCGTTAACTTATTTGCATTGAGCCAGTCAGAGACTTTGAGCAGTTATTAGCAGCTATTGACGGTTTTTTCAAGAGATTTCAAATCAGAGTCAGCATACAACAAGCTTGTGTCATCAGGAAAGAGATAGAATGACAATTTTGCTGAAGAGTTGTGAATATCGTTAATATAGATTAAGAATAACAGAGGACCAAGCACAGACCAACCACAGAGATCATACATTCGGTGATAAGTTAAAACCCACTTCAGTTACTTGTGAACGACTTTACGAGGCAAACCAAGCATTGATAATTCCTCTGATGCCATAATGATTAAGTTTTTGAAGCAAGATTAAATGGTCGACGGTATCAAAGGCCTTTTTTTAAAAAAGTCCCGCAAAAAAGTTTTTGGTCCATATTGTTTTGTATGACATTAACGATATCAATAATGGCATATTGCGTGGAATGGTTTTCGCGGAAGCCATACTGTGACTTAAATAGAATATCATTTTTACCAAGATAGGATTTGAGGCGGTGGTACATTAATTTTTCAAATATCCGATTGAAAATAGACAGTAATGATATCGGACGATAATTACCAGGCTCAGTCTCATCGTCATTTTTGTACACAGGAACAACTTTCGCTTTTTTCAGTTTGGATGGAAAGATGCCCTTTTGCACAGATATGTTTATGATGATGGAGAGAGGGCCCGAGATAACGCATCTTGCGTCAGTTAAAATACAAATCGGACAAGAGTAGAGACCGTAGGTTTTATTTTTAGGGATCAAAAGTATCTCACGCTCAATTTCCTCTGGCGTAACTGGATCAAAGAAGAAAGAGCTTGGATTATAATTGGGAGACAAGTATTCGGTAAAAAAGCGAGATGAACAAGGTACGCGTGAAGCTAGGTTTTTACCGACCGAAGAAAAGTAGTTATTGAAGATGTTAGAAATCTCAAGAGGATCATTAGTTAAGCTTTTATCATCAGGACGTTTAAGGGAAGAAATGACTTGTTTTCTATTCTTTTTGTCGTTAATTAGCCTATTTATTCCATTCCAGGTGTTTTTCATATTGTTTAAATTTTCAGCAAAGAACGCATGATAATAATTCTTTTTACTCAGTCGAGTAAGACTAGAAATTTTATTTCTGTATATTTTATAATTTACAAGATCACCCGATTGGAGGAGAGAATTTTTTATTTTGATGGATTTTCTAAGGCCACTAGTTATCCATGGTTTAGAGAACTGCTTAAGCTTGCGATTCGAAACAGTCTTTAAAGGAGCATGTTTGTCAACGAGTGCCAATAGTGTATTGTAAAAGTAAGAAAAAGCTGTATCGACATCAAACTGATCGCGAAAGTTAGTTTGGCTTACCAAAGCATCAGAGAGTTCAGAGTTGAACTTGCTCCTGGAATAACCAGAAAAGTCTCTGCGTTTTTGCTTTCCGCGTTTTGGCCGCTGAATAAAATTGTGAGAAATACAGAATTGTGAATAGTGATCGCTTATGTCAGAGATAATATTCCCACTGATAATTTCAACATCAACTTTGTTTGTTAGAATATTATCAATTAGGGTGACTGAGTTATTGTAAACACGTGTTGGTTTGTCAATAGTTGGGATAAATGAAAAGCTTTGAAGAGAAAGTAAGAAGTCCTGAGCATAACAGGAAGTTTCGGCATGAAGGAGGTTTATGTTGAAGTCGCCCATAATATATATTGATTTATTTGAGGTAATTAGTCTTTCAAGTTTATCATCAAAATATTCTTGGAAACGTTTGGGAGAGTTATGTTGTCTATATATGATACCACAAATGATGTTACTTTTCTGTGGAAGTTGAATTTCGATCCAAAGTGACTGGAAGGCTTCATCAGATACTTTTTCAATGACAGTATATTTCAGGGAATCATTAATACCATCCACCTCTTTCTAACACCATCTTTAAACGGCTTGTTTAAAGAGACATCCAGCGGCTGCAAGATCGAGGTTAATCCGCCAGGAATTACTGCTAAGTTCATGTTTTCTCGTGTCAGTGCTGTTTTCACTCTTTCGGTCACGTGGGCTTCAAACGCGTTACAAACAAGCAGGCTTCTTCTCCTCACCATTGTTCCGTTTCTCTGTGATCCATTCGAGGAGATCAACCTCAAGTTCTGGCCATGCAGCTTTTTTGCCACGATTTGCTCGTTTCAACCGAGGCATCTTTTCCAAGTTTCCTTGCTCTTCCGCCATAAGCGAACATTACTTTCAGATACTCCGAACTCTCTTTCAGCAGCGCAATTTCCATGCTGTTCGGCGAAATTGATGATTCGTAACTTATCTGACACTGTGTAACTTTGACGCTTTGTTCCGGTGAGTTTTGTAGCCATGTTTACGTTTGATTGCTCAAGATTACAGTAACTGTTTTGTTGATCAGCTGTTCGCTTAAATACTTAGTTAAATTTATTCAAGGATCCAAATTGTTAACATGTGCTTGGTAGGTTAGTTTACCCTCAAATTAAAGACCAATTACATCGCACGCTTATGTGTCTTTGTTATTCTAATGTCACGTGGGCCTAAACAAAGGATTCCATGTATAATACGCATCTCGAATTTAGGTGTTCATTTCGGGAAAAATAAGTGCGCATTATACACGGGTAAATACGGTATACAAGCCAACACCTCCAGAAGCTAGAGGTGTCGGCACATATTCGAAAACGTATCCAGGTATGCATGGATTAAAATCCATTTCTTTACCACTGATTATTTTAGTTTCTGAGACTCCTATAATGCTAAATTCGAAATTTAACTCGTCCAATAGATGAACTTGAAAGTTTTCAAGATTTCGCTTAAGACTCCTGATATTATTATGTAAAAGAGAGAAGCTCGAATCACTGACACGACTGGGAAGTTCACTTTTAAATTTGTAGAAACTATATGGGGAGTAGTATCGACTATGGATACGATGATTATAGATACTATCACTCGGATTGGTGTCTTCAAGTGCGTTTAGCTTGAAAAGATTAAGGTCATAAATGCTAGAGAGTTTTTCTAGGTATTTTTTGGCCGGTAAATGGGAAGGTAAACAATTATTAAATTGACCATGAGCTAAGTTTACATTTAATCCAAAATATGGGGGCTCAAGGAATAAAGATAGAGTATCGCGAGAGTTTAGATCGTTAGCACTCATGAATAAAACTAACTATTAAAAGTAGATGATAGTAAATACTTATCGAACTGATAATGTCAGGTGTCCGAGACAAGTCGCTGTAGACTACCAAAGTCCGTTATCTTTATCGGTCGGGAACCCTCACTCTTGCGTAAATAAATCGTGGAATTCTTGGCCCAGCAGAAGCGGTATTGGTTCTGTTCTTTAAATCTCTTCGCTTCAAACAACAGGTGTTGTTTTTTGGGGGTGAGGTGATCGAAGATTCTGACTCTGTCAAGAACACTATCAGCAGACAGACCAATATTTGATGGGTTGACTTGAGAGGCACTTTGTCGAGTTTCCATAACACTTGCTTTTGCAAGGCGTCTTACAAATTTACAGATGACCGGTTTCGGAGCGCCATTTTGCTGCCTCGAGGGGACGCGATGAGCAATGTCAATGTCCGACAGAAACACTTCTGCCCCCATCTCCTGGAATAATTTTACACACAGGGCGCTTGTTTCAGCTGCGGTTTCACTGCTTTTCTCTGGCAGGCCAATTATTTTTACATTAAATTGGTAGCTATATTCCTCAACCTCGTCAATGGCGTTGCCAACACGTGTGACTTCAGCGCTAAGCTTATTAAGACGACGGCTTAATGCCTTGAGTTGATCAACGACACCAGAATTAGACGCTGAGAGGTCGTCGTATTCGTCGCTCAGATATTGTAGACTACGAGACACGGTTTCATCATTTGAAGCATTATTAATTCTATTACCAGACGTAGCAGCTGCTTCAGCACCAAAGGTAATGGCCGAGTCGACCCGAACCTTCTCTTTCAGCTGCGTTATTTCCTTCGAAAGGGCGTCGACCTTATCCTTTAAATCTTGATTTTGTTGCTTTAGTGAAGTAACTGACTCTTTTGGCAT